AGCGGGCGGACATTTTAGAACCGCCGATCACCTATTTTAAAATCGTCATCTAGCGAAAAATCATCGTTAAGTGATTTTTCCTTCTTAGAACATCGTTTTGCGATCGCTTTTCATCATCAAACAGTTCTCATTTAACGAGGTAATTGTTAAGCGAGGCACCACTTGTACACTTCTAATCAAACTGCAATCCCGATTTATAGGGATTTAGCAGAGACTGAACTGTGAAAAACAGATTTGCCACTGTTACCTCTAGTTTAGTCCAAACCCTGCTATGCTCCCTGGTGCTTCTTGCCAAAGAAGCTTGCTCTGATTTTTTTCCAAGTAAAATTAATTAGTCTGAGAGGCAGCTCTATAAAAATATGTATCACATAGCACAGGGGCAGTATTAGCATCAGAGCTGGGTCATATGAAAGGCTGTTGGCATATATAACCGTAACAAAAGTTTGACAATGGAAATTCAGCCTCTTTTTAAAAAAAGCATGCTACTTTTGATGCAAGATGAAGGATGATAATTTCCTTTCGCTTCCAAAGACCATGAGGAATAAAAGGGGCAAGGAGATACACTTTCCAGACATTAAAATGTAACAAATGTGGAAGTTGTGGTTGAGTATTCTACTTTTATACTTCATGAGCTGGTACTTGAATTTTCATTTTCTGTGACATTTTGAATGTTTCCTTTTCATTGGGAAATAGTTGTGCCTAAAACTGACTCAGCAGGCACCCTTTCCACTCTGAGAAATGTATTAAGGGAGAAAAAAAAGCTACTAAGTAATGGGCCACTAATACATTGCCCAATAAAATAACACAACTAAATCCCAGCCTTGATATAGGATAACAGATAAGTAAGCAGCAGGAAAGTTTGGAACATTCAAAAATTGACCAGAAAAAAAGAGCTTTGGTACAATAAAATTGCCTTCATTTACAAGTCAGCGAGGACTGTGAAATAATTTAGTTATGTTTTTTCCATCTGCTTATTGGTCTGCCAAGATCTGGCTTTTGATTTGCAAAAGTGTCCTATAAAATCATTATAATCTTCCATCTGATTACAGCCAGAGGAGATCATGCTCTGGCAAGGCAGACATAGCAATATTATTCCTGCTTTTATTACACATTTCACAGTTCAAAGTAACTATCCATCTAATCTCATCTATCAGCGACATTTAGGGGAGAACCTCTCACTGTGTCTGAGAGAGGAATGAGCAAAATGCAATCCTCCCGATGTTCTTAGAGCATAATTCTGAGGGTTCTTCCCAATTGGAAGTGCTGGTTTGGGCTAAGATATACTGTACTGCACACCAGCTACATCTGGAGGGATACAGCTTGCCCTCCTTTGCCTTAAAGTCTTAGGTAGATGTAGGAGGACACACTCATGCACACAACCTGGCTCAAAATCATTTAGACCACTAAAGGTTGAAACCAGTAACTTGAATTAAGTCAAGAAAAAGAGTGGAGGCCAGTGCAAATGATAAAGCACCAGGATGTGGTCACATTCATCAACCTGGGTTTAACATTCTCGACACCCCATTTTGGACTGACATTTCTGATGCATCTTCAAAGACAACCTCATATGTAACAAAGTAGCAAGAATCCAAGGAAAGGTACTAGTACACTGGTGTAAGTCTGCTTTTATCTCCGTACATGCATAGCTACAGCTGAAGAAAAGTGTGTTTAATGGCGGACTTGTTGAAGCAAGTAGAGCTTCGCCCCAAAGCACCAAAACTAAGAGGATGGTGAAATATATAGGCAAATCTACTGGTCTGAAGGAAATAAAAGAGCAGCACCTCCCGCCCCTATTCACTTTTCTTTCTTTATTTTTAAAAAGCATAAATCTCCTTTTGAGTGATCACCACATTTTCCTCCCTTTTTCATGGGATAGCTCATACCCAAGTCTTAGGAGAGAGTCGTTGAGAGGCACTAAAACTCAGCTCAGGTGCCAAAAAGGGCTAGTTACAGCTGTGGTCTCGTGCCTATTGGCTTTCTTATATCTTTAGTGGGTTTTACCCGTTTCCTACTAAACTGTCCAGGAATTGCACAGACTATGGAAATGTGCTTTTCCTGGCATATTAAGCAAAAATTGTATCTGACAGTTGCATGGTGGTTTGCACTTATGTGTCGCAATGAACATTGTGCAATGTTGTGTACTAAATTAACAGAAAGTTCTTACTCTAGCAGGCAATCTTACTAAATACATGTTCAGTAAAAGTTTGCAGTTAATCAATTCACCTTGAAACTGTCACAGGGAAAGCAATTCTGTATCAAGCAGGTTTCAGTTGTTACAGGCAGGCTCTGGCGTTTAGAAAATCCCAAGCTTCCAATTTTATGTTTCCACAAATGAAGAGATCCCACGGAATTTGGGGGGCTTGGTCTACAGTGTTTGTATAAGTCTATGGTCCTAAGATGTAGTTACATACAGTATATTTTAATGGTGCTTATATACGGTCCCATAGTGTTTAAAGCACTCTCTAGGTGGTTTACAATTTTAATTAGGCAGGCTACATAATGCCCCCCACCAGCAGGCTGGGTATTCAATTTACCAAGCTCAGAAGGATAGAAGGCTGAGTGAACCTCAAGCAGACTATCTGGGGCTGAACCCAGGTCATGAGCAGAGTTTTGGCTGCAGTGCAAAAATTTAATCACTGCATGAGGTTCCTATACACAGTATACATCTTTGTCAGCTTATTAAACACTATGGGAGTTCATGTCAGGTAATAAAATCAAGCTTCCTGAATACCGAAAGGAAACATGGAGTTACTTTTGTTGCACTGCAACTCCCATCAGCCATAGCCAGTCAGCATAGACAACTGTCCAGCCTCTCATATCCATCACTAAATATATTCGAGATGTTCAGGACTCCACCATACAGACCCCTAAGGTTCCTTTATTCTATTGAGATTTTTATTTTTTGACATGGTGCATCATACCTCACTCTGTGACAGGCCTAGAAATCATCTGGGCCATCAAGTCTTGTTGGATTGCAACTCCCATCAGCCCTAGCTGGCCTTGTCAGCGATGGTACTTCTGTACAGGTACTGACCTGTCCAAGTAATTGGATTGAGGGATTCCATTCCACCCACTACAGTTCTATTATAATTGTTATTGCCACTATCACCATCTAACAGAATCAAGAGACTGCTTTCAACAAGGATTAAGACTCAATTAAAAGGCCTGGGAGTATTCACCAAGCAAACCTCCCTTGACAGCATTCCACAACTAGGGTGCTATCACCAACAAGGCCCTTTCTAGTTTCACCACAGTATGTTTCAGTAGCAGCGTAGTCTCCATGAAAATCTTGACTCTGTAGACAATCCAACAAAAACTCTATGCTACTCCATCAAGGACATTTAAAGTACTTCCCAATGTTGTGGGTGCCCCATCGCTGGAGATTTTCAAGAAAAGGTTGGACAGTCATTTGTCCGGGATGGTATGAGGTCTCCTGCCTTGGGCAGGGGGTTGGACTACAAGACCTCCAAGGTCCCTTCCAACCCAACAACTATTCTATGATATTTGCAATTGATACACCTCATCTGGCACCATTTTGGAAAGGCTCCTACTTGTTGTAGAAACACTGAATCCCTCTTCTAAGAAAACATCTAGTAGCCATGATGTTTAGAGGTACTTCTGAGGCAACAACAACTTTTCGGTTTCTTGCCAATTGACAATTTGCTGATTAACCAAGCAATCCAACACTTCTCTACAGCTGACAGGAAAAATTACGTTGTTTGTATGTAGGCAGGAACTTATCCAGTTCACACATCTCAAATCAATGTAAATTGGAAGACAATTATCTTTCAGTAATAGCACTTTTCAGTATTTCAAAGTGCATGTTTTAGAGGGAAAAGGGCACAAGGATACATATATTAGTGTGAAAACATTAAAAGTTGTAGTACTACAGCAACATTACAATAAAGAAAACAGTTAAGGAATAATAAGATTAGGCAACTTGTTCATTAAAAACACTCAAAATAAAACTTGTTTGGAAATAAAAATGTCAGGAACTTAACATATCAAACTGACAGGGAAAATGGGTGGGGCAGGGCAGGAAACAAATATAAACATGAGGGAAATGAAAAACTATGAGAGAAACAGACTCACTCATCCCAATCCAGAAAAATCCAGAAATAGTCCCTGGGCTAAATTGAACTGTTCATTCCTTAAACCAATGAGACTATGAATTTATTAATACCTATTAAGTAGGCCTACTCTAGTTAGAATTTGGCCCTGGGACTAGTTCTGGATAAGGATGGACCATCTGATTTAGTAGTCCAGGGAATGTGCATATTCCATTGTTACAGAATTTGGATTTTAATTTCGTGAGTTTACTCTGTATGAAGTGCCTTGTCACACCCCTTTCTGAAATGTATTCTGACAGCTTGTATTTGCTTCCATTAAAGCCGATGAGTAAATCCAGTTCAAAATATCAAACAGAAAAAGATGCAAAACAGAAAAAAGAAAACAATATGAGAATTAAATTCTTTATTACAAAAAAAGCCATAGATGATGGTTTTTTTAAAAGATATATTTGTTATTTTTGTCTAAAAATAAATAGTTCATATGGAATCTTGAGATTAGCCCATGTGGCTAGTGAATTCTTTTATCGCCACATTACAGATAAACAGTAGCACCAATAAATAAAATGATAGTAAAATTTTCTATATTTCAGGGGCAGGGAGAAGTTTACATATATAAAAATCGTAGTGTCTATTTAATCCGAATCACACATATACATAAACATATATATATACACACACACACATACATATATCCAAATATATATATATATATATAATATGTAGATGTATAACCCTTGCCTCTGGAGGAATGTGTAGGGGTGGGTGTTAGAGATATTAATTAAATAATTGATCATGCTACTGACTCTGAAAACAATTGGGGAGAGATTGGATGGAACAGAAGAGTTAAAAATTAAAACTTAACAGTACAAAAAAGGAGGTTCAGTTTATAAATAGTAAAATTAAATATTAACAAAGAATACTGAAAAATACCTAGTTTAAATTATTTTTTTAATTTCTAAAATTTAAAAAGGGATATTAAACAAGTATATAGAACAATGTTTGTCACCTCATACAACATGAATATATACATTTCAGTTGTGTGCACATTCACACCTACCCCCACACACCCACACACTCATACCACATTTTCTATTGTCTGGAAGGGGATTTCATAGTGGTTAATCATTACACTTGTCACAATTTTTTAGGACAGTTTCTTGTTATGCATAAACAGGCATTTGGCAGCTTTCAGACATAGAATACATATAATTTAATTTTTTTTTAAATGAAGCTGAGATCCAAATACACACCCCAGTCCTGGAAAGGCAATTGGAAGCAATTTTCTGCATCGTGAGAAGTATAACTGGTCATGTGGTTTGAGGTTTCTGCACCCAGTACACAAGGCTACAAACACAATACCTGACAATAAATAAGGAAATATGTTTGCAATGGCAAACAAGTGGCCAGCTCTGTCATTTTGAAAGTGCTGGACCTCTTTTGGGAAAAGAACAGAAGCCAGGACAACCCTGTACCCTCTGTACAGAAAGGAAATGCTCAGATTCAGTTCCACACATTCCATCACTAAATCACAACCAGCTTTTTCAAAGGTGAACTCACTGGCTATCGCTTGAACCACCATAAAGCCACAGATCTATGCATAGCAATGGCACATGTGCATACACACAGAGTCCCAGTATATGGTACATAGATAACACAGGAATAAGATTTTCTAGGACAACAAGGTTGCTTCTAATTTTAGAAACATCTGTGCCACATACCAGCTGGTAACAGCCCAGCAGAAGCTGCTTGCAATGTCACAGATTTTGGGTACAATCAACAGGAAAACGTACCTGCTGCAGGATCAATTGAAGTTCAAGAGCCACAAATTCCACCCAGAACTGCAGAAAACTTACCAGTGGGTTACACACCTGGTTTGTTACGATGCACTTACCAACACAATCATTGTGGCTCCCACTCTCACCATGCACTTGTAGGTAAAGTGAGTCTTTGGGGAGGTCAACAAGTTTCTGTCATTTAAAGTATATCATTGGCTTTAACCTTCCACTGTTCCAGATTATCTCTAGAGCAAAAATGTCCTAAATGCTCACTTACTGGCTTGGGATGCTTTGGTTTTTCAAGTGATTCATGTATCAAGGCACGGAGCATTGTGGACTGATCCCATAAGAGCACTTCCATATCCCTTAATCTGGATCTGAGGAAATCAAGGAGGCTACAGCCAACTTCCCACAGTGAAAGTCTCTATAACAAGGGGGGGAAGGCAGAATTTCAAAGGGCCGCGCACAGAGATCTGGTTGGAAGCAATTAGCAAAAACCCATCTCTATATGCAGATCAGACAATCTCAGGATTTTAGGCAATGCATATTAAACGTAAGTAATGCAGTTTTATTGTGGCTTTGAACTTGGCCTGACTTTAATTAAACACACCACTGTGACTACTCCTTTAAAACGGGCTGGACTATATTTCAAATTTTGCTTTAAAATGATTTGGGCTTTAAAGGGACTTAGATGGTACTTCTGAAAGCTGAAGAGGCAGAATAAAACCCTCTTTCTGGGGACCTAGCTACCTTTACAAGTCTCTCCACATGCATGAACTCAACCTCCTGCTACAGAAGCAGGTCTGTCAAGATTAGTGGAGTTAACAGTCACATTAACACTTCATTTGTATCTAGCTATTTCAGACAAGCATTCCAAATATAGCATCAAGCATTTAGCAAATGGAAAGGAAAACATAAGACACCTTTCTTTAATTTGGCACTCTCCTGACACAGTGAAGTGCAAATCCCATCATTCCAAACATAACTAGCTATGGCAGTGGGAACTATAGCTCAACATATCTGACAGCATCAGATGAGAAGGCAAACTAAGGCCTCAGTTTCCACATGGCACACATTTAGCCTTGGCCTCCACAGTAATACTGTTCTTCCCATGTAAATGATGAGGTTCCTCCTCATGTGATTCAGAACCCTGGCTCCACATTGAAGGAAGGTTGCTGGCATACTGGAGGGAAAAGTGGTGCAACATTGGCTGAGAAAGGACTAAAACAGTCCCTCCCACTTAACATTATTTTCACCACACTTACCTTATGTGTAACACCTGGACAGGGCTGCTGTCCTCTTAAGTATGTTTCTGTTGCAACCAAACACTTTTTCAGATAAAAAGGTAGACATGTATAGATGACATAATCCCACCCATGCAGCTTAGTGGTAGAATAGAACACAACACTTTTCATGAACACTTTCATGTCACAACAGATTGAGAATCTGAGTAAATTCACAACACTGTAAGTCCCCTTTCATCAGGTGTTGCCCATTAGCCCTGAAATGATGCCATCTGGCTTTGAAAGCATTAGACCCCCAAATGCCTATACAGATGAAGGTACATACCACCCAACCCCTCACAGACAATCACTCACACATCCTTGCCTATTGTACATATATACTTTAGATTAATATCCCTTTCCAGAGATGTTATGTAAGCATCTTCATTGGCAGCTCTGTGCATAATAATGGCAGACAGTGCTGTTCAACTGCCTGGCTAGACACCGGTCCCCAAATCTTGCTTCTACATACTATCAGCCATAAATATCTCTCTCTCCTTTATTTAAGTAGCCAACAGGGGTGGAAGATTGCCAATTCCAGTGATGCCTCTCTCATATTGATGAGTCCTTGCATCAACCAGTTCTCCACCATTAAGGCCAGAATAAACATCCATGATGAAGTTCCTGAAGAGGGTCAATATGAAAATGCAAACCAAAGTTCCAGCAAAGCAGGAAAGTTGCAATCCAGGAGCCTGAAGAGAGGGGAGGAAAGTTGACAGAATCCTCAGTCCTAGCATCTAGAGTTTTTGCTTGACCTTTTGACCCACCATATTTCAAGGTGCCATCTTTGGAAGTCTTTTGCCACCTCTCTGGTACACACACAAGACTAACGGAGGGAGAAATGGCAATCAAGCTGGACCAGCGCGCTTTAAAGAGTCAGCAAGAGTATGAAGATTAAAAAAAAGTAAGCACTTTGACTGATGTCCAGTTGGAGTTTCCTTTGCTTTTCGCCCCATGTAGCCCACTTGTGTCCACAGCAGTTGATTATATCCAGTGAAGACACCAATATTGTTAGCAATGTTTCAAAAATTCATGAGATATATATATATATATGTATATCTATATATACACATACATACATATATATTTTATATATTATTCGAGTGAAATGGGAGTCCCAAAGCCACATACGCCACTCCAATCTCCCTGGCTTCATTATTTAGCAGCATGAGAAGGAAAGTCTCTCAATAAAAACCAGTCCAAAACCCAAAAGGTGAATCTTGTGCGGGTCCTCGGGGAATGTTCCTACCGGAGTCCATCGTCCATACTCAAAAAGTGCTGTGCTCTACTGATCCTTCATTTTTAGTGTTCATTTGGATTAGTGTTTTTTGACCAGGCGAGATATCAGGCTCCAGAACTGAGGCTCTTTCCCCCACCAACCCATTTCTTCTCTGCTGCTCACCGTCTTGGTTTTTCACATCTATTAAAAAGAAGGGAGAAAGGAAGAGAGGTTAAGCTTTTCAGAAGAAAATCTGATGCATGGTTCTCTGATGTGATGAGGGCTATGGCAGTTAAGAAGAGGAATATGAAGAAAGAAGACTGGACAAACCAATCTTCCTCACAATCTCTACAAAACAAGGGGAAAGACACCAAGATCAGAATTTAGTTTTTCCCCATACCAGGAAAGCATGGAAAGAAAGCTAATTCCCTTCCATAGTTGTCTTTTAATAACCTCACACACCTCTAGTCAGACATACACAAAAGGATGCATATGCGCAAACAGCCTCATTGCCAAGCTAGCCTTTTTAGCTTCCGTTTATAAGGTGCAGCCACGAGTGTCTCATGCAAAGAAAAATAAGTGTCTCATTCCATTGTTTACAAAGAGGCAGAGGTTAGTGTCCAACACAGAAGCAGTTTGTAGAAGCAGCAGGAGAAAAAGAAGAAGAAATGGATGTGCCACACATAGAAAGTCTCTTAGAGTGACAGGAAGGACATTCAGCTGAAGCAGCTCACACCAAAACCACAACCAAGTTGCCAGCCCCAATGAGTCCAGACTGAGTCCGAACTCAAAAAAAGCCTTTTGTTACTGGCCGTAGTCCAAAACAAGAGTGAGATGAGAAACCAGCAGCCTTGGGGCAAATAACTTCTCACTTCAAGATAACTTTTCTTCCTGGCTTGAGAACACTCCTAGGCTTTCTGCAAGGATGATTTCAAGCTGTACATGAGACAGTCCAAGGAAAAACTATAAAGGTCAAGGACAGGGAGCTGTCTGGTTTCTCTCCATGGACAATTTCTGCAGGGTGAACTGTAACCCAAGAAGAGCTGGCTGGCTCTCTTCTTTCTGCAGCAGGAGGCATCCACACTCGGGTTACAACTGCACAAAAGAGGAAGCTCAGTACATATAGAGTAGCTCCTCCACTGGCAGAGAACCGAGCATCCTCTGCACCAATATGCCCTTTCCCACTTGTTTTCTTTAAGAATAGCCCAACACAACGATTACTGAGAGCACACTTTTCTACTGCACTAGAAGACTGAAGAACCACACATGCTAGGCCCAGAAATCTGGGCAGGTTCCAGCCCTTTTAGTCTCTGCTTGTGAATACTGATCCTTCAGAGGCATAAAGGCATGTATGTCTTCCAAAAATCAACACAGCGATTTTAACTGGCTGCATTAATCAGAAGGCTTTTGAATTTTGGTTTATTAGGTATTATCACTCCTATTTCTGTTCTCTGGCTTGTTGGAAAACAAACAAACCAAAGGAAGTGTCAAGTTTGGACATCACAATAAACAACTCATGGATAGAAGATCTGCAGTTGCTTTTGTGGTTCCTGATCGTATCTGGTGTGGTCAGGCAACCTTATGTCAAATAAACCACAATTCCAAAAGTGTGCAAGCTTATTGCAACAATCTAACACACCCTAATAGATACATGAAACCCACAGTGGCAACAAGCTCTGGGATCATGAAGGGTAGTGTGCCATTTGGGGGCCATAAGGCAGAGACAGGAATACTGATAACCTATGTGCACACAGGCAGATCTTAAGTAGCATACAGCAAGGATTGCATAAGCTTCTCTTTTGCCAATTTTGAATTACCTATGGTCAAGAAACCTAGCCATGTACATCACATTTCTGATTATATTCATATAATGAAAAGTGAGGGAAGAAAGAGCTGATTACACTATCTTATTGGAAACGCATACAAAACCGAAGACGTGCCTACACCTTATGGCTCAATCCTAAGTAGACTCATTTCATGACGAGCCAGATTTTGACAAGATTAGATCATGCTCTCATGCACTTGGGTTTCCCTTAAATCTTGAAAACAAAAGTAAGGGAATAATCTAATGTTATCAGGAGGTGCAGCCACAAGTGTCTCGTGCAGACAAATAATCTACTCCAATGAAAATAATCTGCCGTACTGTAAAGTAAAAAAATGACTTGTGGCTGCTATTGTATAAAAGGCCTTTGGCCCTTCTTCCTTGCCACATGGAATGAGCCATATTATTCTCCAAGGAATACGTTCAGCAGGTACACCACCCAATCTGCCATCCTTCCAGCTCAACCCTAGCAGAACACAGGAAGCTCACATGGCCAGACAGGTAACACTGTTCCTTTCTTACAACACTCTTCCTACCAATATAAAGCAGAGGAAATGAGAGGTGATAGGACATCAGCACCAAAAGCAAGCAAGAAGCAAATCCTCTTTCTTAGTGTGTATGTGTGTGGATATGCATCTGTATGTATCTTGTACATGTGTATAGATGTATGATTTTTTCCCCCTCTTTCATTTTTCAGGACACAAACCTGCAAGTGCGCTCGTTTAACTCAAGCTGCCTCGACTTGCAACGTGAGTCTGTGAATTTGCAGGAACATTTACAGGTCTGGGGATCTTGTTTGTACAAGTGCTTTCTCCTTTCTGAGCAAGGTTCACAGTGACTGCAAAAAGGCAAAAGGAAAGAGGTCTAAGCTACAGCGCTTTAGCGGGAAGAAATTTATACATGCAACACCCTAAACATTGAAGCAACCCCTACCCTCACCCCCCACATAAACCACACACCCAGCACTGCCCATCCAAAGTACTGCTAGGTGGTGGCCACTCTCCCCAAATGCATTCCAACACTTGCAACAGCTTTAAAAAAAAAAAACAAGATAGAGATAAACTCGGCAACGGCACAAATCCACAAATCCTGCATTAGTCCAATCTGCTGAGGCAGGCATTGTGGGGGGCCTCGCTATAGTATAGAGGTCACAGCCTGCCAGCAGCAGAATACACAGCAGCATCTCTTCCTACAGAGAAACTCACTCATGTCAACTAGGGCAACAGCTGTATAAAAGGGGGCAGGGAGAGGAAAAAAAGGTTCCTGGATTCAGCTGCTCCTAAATGAATGAATTAATTTTCCTTAGGATTGACTTGGGACAGCCTGTCTGCAAAAACTCTGCTCAAATATCCTACTTTAGGCCACACCTGAGAGATTCTCGATAATGCAGGATTTTGCGAATTGATAGGAGATGCAGAAAAATAAGGGAAAGGCACCAATACCCAGCAAAGAGAGAGAAAAAGGAACAGAGACGGCATGCCCTGCTTTTCCCAGCATCCTCTAGCTTCTCTTTAGTTAGTGTTACCATGAAACCCCACACACAGACACAGACACAAACATGCACGAACAGCAAGGGCCAAGCCTTCAGTGCCAACCTCTTCAACAATGACAGGCTTAAAGTGAAAGCTGGGAGCCGGGGATTAAGGGAGGAGAGAAGGGAAATCATACAGGCCATTGCAAGGTGCTGTAGCAGCAGAAAACAAAATAACAGAAGGCTGCCTATCCGTTCATGTTGCTGTGCCCTTAAGAGAGAAAGAATTATGTCTCAAGCAAGAAAAGTGGCCCTTGGTCTTTTATGCTTCTGCTCCCAGTGTGGCAAAGTGACACCACCACCACCACCAGGCACCATGAATGAGCAATTTGGAGAAGCAGGTGGACACTGGTTGGGTGGTTGATTGATCAAGTTTTAATTAGGTGAATTGCAAGCAGCTGCTTTGATTTGAGGGGAATGATGGGAGGTAAAAGGGGAAAGGCAGAGTCTGCAAGCACATGATGCAAAACGTACAAGTTTGGGGGTTTATACCGGCCTCTCTTGCGCTTTCTCTTTTGACCCTTCCCCTTTCCTCGCTTTGATTTTCTGGAAGAAAAACAAAACAAAAAAAGCAGAGAGAAAGGAAAAAAGCGAGAAAGCAAGAAAAAAAGGGGAGGAGGGAAGAAATAGAAAAGGAGGTGGGGCTACATACCCTTTTTGGAGAAAAGGAGACATAAAGCAAGGGTGGGAATATCTGGCCCTCCAGATGCTTTGGCCTCCCAACTCTAACCGACACAGCCATAGGCACTGGTGCTCCAAATATCAGAAGGTCAGAGCTTCTCTACCCTGACATAAAGAATGGAAGGCTGGAAGGTCTTTGAGTCAAGGCCTTTATTGCCTCTCCTCATGTACCAGCTTTTCCACGCATCCTGCACAACTCTTCCCAGATGAACCAAACAGCTGAAACAGAACATGGTGACTCACTCTCCAACTTGGAGGCAAACCCTGGTATGTCTCAGCATACAATTCTGCTGCTCTGTTAAGAAATAAGAGGTTCTCCACCCCACTCAGGAGGCTGAAAAATCATTAGCACTCAGGTGCAACCTATCAGCCATTATCCAGGAAGAGACAATGAAGATTGAGGAACTGCCATTGAGAAACTGTGCATGCCATGTGCCATGATGACCTCTGGATGTAGCACATCTGCTCTGAAAATGCCATCACAGTGTCTGGAAAACAGCCACCAGCAAGTGACGAGTGGAAGACCAGGCAAGTCCACACTTTGCCGAGAAGGATGAAGACCTGCCTTTCCCAACCTGGTCCCCTCTGTATATTATGAAGTACAACTCCAAGCAATCTCAGCCAATGGCCATGCTGGATGGACCTGATGGAGTTGGAATACTAACATTTGGAAATCATCAGACTGGGAAAGACTGGTGTAAACTGCTAACCTACATCTGACCCTCAACATGTTCATTTCCTTTGGCTATTATGGCATCTCTCAAACCAGCAGACCATTCCACTTCTATGGGTATCTTTCACAGAAAGAAGACTAAGGATAGAGCAACCAGCCTTATTATTTCTTTGCTTCTGGGGTTGCCCAGGAAGACAAACATAGTAACACATGTGGGAAGGTAAAGAATGATACAAGAAGAGGGCTTGTAACCAGAATTACTGACGGGTCAGTATCTCTTGCTTCTTAAGCCCCAACCAGCAATTTAGAGACCTGCCAAACAAATATTTTTTACATGAGATTATCATGATATGGCAAGGAAGCAGGGTGGATTTGATTAAAATGTAAATCAATGTCAATCATGATTTAAATCTTAAGAACTGGATTTTTGGGATGATTTAAATTAAAAAAATCAATTGTTAAAAAATTTAAATTGGGATTTAAATCTTTTTTTTTTAATCATAGAGTTTTATCCACCCTGAAAGGAGGCCTCATCTAATTATAAATCCCTGGAAGATGACACTGCATCTTTCTTTTCCAGAAAATCTGGAGTCACTTCTTTATCACAAGGATAAGAGAAAGTCAAAAAGTAGACTCATTTCCCCAATTCCCTTGTAACTAGACATCAGGAAAACAGGAAATAGCCTTAAAACAGATGGGCCAAGACCTTCTGTCAGTCTTTCACCATATAACTGAGTTTCAATAATGGCACCATATCTAGATTAGGAAAGCAGAATGCACAGCTCCAGCCCAAATGCTCATGTTTATGTTTGTGGAAATCTTGAGTGAGCCAAGGAGGGAAAGTGCAGAGAAAGGAAGTCAAGGTAATGGACTCTTCTTGCAAAACCCTTTCAGAAGGATTCCCCCTGGTCACTCCTAGTTCTGCTTCTTTCCCAGTCCATCTCAACTGGATGAAAAAGAAAAGTCCACGGTGGGGAGAAAGGTAAAAAGGCAGATGTTTTCCTCAGACTTGTTAAAGCCAGTTGTTTGGCATTCATTTCCTTTTCTAACCATAAGCATCACAGGACATACCTAGAACTAGTGCTACAAGCGGGAAAGATGAAGGGAAGTTTCCTTTAGGATTAATTCAGAAGCTGGTAACAAGCACGAGAGAAATTTCAGCATAACCCAGAACAAAGCACCACATGTGAAGCAAGACTGGCAAAGCAACACAAGCCCACCTAAAGCTTAGGCAAAAGGGATGAAAAATGAAAGTTACAGTAAAAGAAGAGGGTGTTTTGGCTGCATCCCATCAGCACTATTGTTCATGATCATAGCCACACATTTTCACACCTATGAGCTACCTGAGTACCCAGTTCAACAATGAGAATAGTCAGTACTCCAGAGAGAATCAGCCAAGTTGCTATTCCTTCTCTTATTACCATGGTGGCTTCCTATAATAGGTTCCAAGGGAAAGGGATGTGGGAACAGCAACACAGCTGGCCCCTACACTGTTCTCTCTGTCTCATCTGCCTCTGTTTCCATATCAAATCTGTGACAATAAGTTGTGCAACTCATGCCACTTATATTGCGTATACATATAGTTTTTTTGTTTATCAAGCTGGATGTGAAAAGAAACCATCACATTTCCCATGCTTGCTATCATCTGAAAGTGACTGGTGAAAGCAATTTTCAGTTTCACATTATAGCACTGACCAGTCCCATTCTCATGAGCCAAGTCACCTTATTGTCATGAACAACCCTTCTCAACCCAATATCCTAGAAATGTTTTAGACTACAACTCCCATCAGCACAGCCAGCATGACCAACAGTCATGGATGACGGCAATATAGCCTAAGCCATCCAACAGGACCCCTGGCAAAGAAAGCTGACTAGACAAAGGGCTTTACTGGACACCACCCTCACAATCAATATGCAAAGTCCATTCACATACAGATCGCTGCCCACACCCTAATTGGGTTTTTACTTTCAGGTTTTTCAGCAGGCTGACATTCCCCTTCTCTGAGAGAGGCAATAAAGCTTGCATGCACAGCCTTGATGTTAGGAAGCTATGCAAACCACTGAATCATTCAGCAAATTGTCACCCAAGAAGCAATAGAAAGAGAAAAAGCAATCGTTTTGAGTATTCAGAGAGAGAACTACACAAAAGAAACTTCCACCTAGAATCCATTCCCAAAAGGGGGTGGGGGGGAAGCATCTTGTTACTTCCTTGCTGCCCTTTACACATTTGTAGAAGCAAAGCCATTTGGCCAGGAAAAATGCCACAACATTGAAGCTGCTACAGATGCCCACAAGGAATGGATTCAAGGCATCAACAATTAAAACGACTGCTTGATTGGTTACACTCTTTTTTTGGTCAGCATTTGTTTCTGATCAAAAAAAGAAAAGGTAATTACCAACACCAAAGGGAAGGTGGGAAAACACATAAGCCACGTCACTTACTTTTCTTGTCTAATTCTGACTTCTTTCTTTGGTCTAGGAGGAAAGAGACAAGAGGAACAAAGTCAGGAGAGGAACGATGACAGACATTGGACCCACCTTTTCACCATCTTAGCCCAACTTGTTGCAGATATAATTAGAACTATAACGCTTTATATCTTATAGTACAGGGCTAAGTTGTTATTATCAATGACCACTGACCAAGCAGAATTTGAACTGGAGCCCCAAACATCTGGAGAGCAGTGAGCTGGAGAATGCTGGCCAATGGAATATTGGAATAACACAAGGAATGCCCCTCTTGGAGAATGCTGGCCAATGTTACAACAGCCACATGCTGTTGTAATATTGGAATAACACAAGGAATGCCCCTCTTGCTAGTCACTCCAAGTGACAAAGCAGATATTAAGGGAAATATGTCTTCTCTATTAACCCATTCTTCCTTCCAAAATGCTATTTCCTCAGTAATAAATGCCTTCATTTCAACATGCTTGAACAAAGCATGTTGGAATGCAAGACACAGAAACAAGAAAAACGCATGACAAGACAAAATATTTCCTCACCACGTAAGAGAACATGCTTCTAAATACAGGCAAAGTAACTTGCCTAATATTACCCAAAAAAGTTCCTCAACCGCATCATCCAGTAAACATATCTAAGAGCCATCTTACAAGCATTCTACAAAAAACAACTAATAAAATACTATCCTTTGGTCACTCCTTTCAGTCATCAGCCACCAGCCCGAGACTAACATAACCCCCTGCCCACAAAGTGAAATGCCTACTAGTACAGTTACAGTGTGTTCTGCTTCCACAAACAGAAGTTTTTCCATCCTCACCTGCATTCACATCTACTGTGCTCTTGGAAGCTCATCAGGCTTATGTGCTGGCCCTGAAGGTGTTTAATTCTCATGATCTAAAATGAAAGATGGAAAGAGGGGTGAGGTTGAGAAAGAAAGAAAACAAACAGGGTGAGTCACATTTGCAACATGGTAGCCATCAGACAAACAGACAAAGCAACCCAATAGTAATAATTAAAGTAAATTGGAAGACCAAGTTAGTACTGTATATGAAAAATACTATCTTAGGCCCATTTACTTGGGAGTAAGTACTACTGATCCCCAGCATGGTGTAGAGGATAGATGACAGACTAGGATTCAGAAAGCTTGGATATGAATCCCCACTCTGCCCTGGAAACTCAGGGAGTAGGGGTGGCACTGGTAAAACCACTCAAACATCTCACTGTGGAAGCTTTATTACAATTGAGCATCAATTTTGGCTTGACAGCACATAACACAAAAGTACCACAAGACTTACATATCCTTACAATAGGACTTATTTCCAAGTTGACCCACATAAAACTGAAAGCACCAAGGAAATGTGAAACTGACCAATTCCTGCCTTGATAATCAGCACAAGCTTTTGGTTAATAAATACATCATTCATAACTAACTCCTATCATTCCTAGTGCACTTGTTTAAAAGAAAACAGATGCTCCACCCTCCTCTCCCAGCGAGGTTTGCTCAGATTTTAGTTACAGAATTTAGAGGTAGATCATGCTTCTTCACAGGTAGAACGGAAAGCTGTTTAGGAAAGAACACCGGTGTGTGTATGTGCACAGACACATACAGACATGCACACATACACATTTAGGACTACTAGTGAAAGAGCAGTACATGGATTGCGAAGGCAGTGGAAATACAAACCATGGGCAGGTACAAAACTACATGAAAATTCAGACAACTGCTTTAAATACAAGCTTTTCAGCCTTGTTCAGCAGACAGCTGCCTCTGGATTACACACGCTTCTGCTCTGGAGCCTATTCCTGAGCCCTGTGAAACACCACAGAAAGATGGCTCCACTGCTGAAGTGGCCAGCAGCAGCAACACTAACTGAACATGCTACTACTCCAGGCTTCACTATGGTCATTAGCAAAACTGGATTCCTTGCCATTAACATACCCACTTGTGGTCTTGGGTCTGCACCACAAAACCACCCTACTATTTACACTCCCTCTTTTGAGAGGCCCAATCTGAAGTGCCAACAGCGACATTTGTAAGCAATGACTGTGGGCTGATTCCAGGTCTGGAGGATTGGACTCTGTCTGGATCAGGATGAAGAAGCAGTTTTCCAAAGCTGAGGAAGCTTTCCCCACAAGCCTTCGCGAATACACTGAGGAAGACAGTCTAGCGGAGGCATTCTGGCTGTGCTCATGGTATAAAGTCTGTCTCCTCACAGTATGCTCAGCCTCAGCTATTCTTTCCACCCCACTCTCTTTCAGGATGATTACATTCAAAAGAAAAAGGAAGGAACGTTTTCTGTTTGTGACAATGCTATTTCTCTTCCTACCCCTGCAGTGCCTCTGCACTCAGCCAGACAAAACCTCTAGCTTGACTGGCAAACCCTAACTTGGACAGCTCTTGAGAAGATCCATTCACAGTTTTCTTTTGTACAGAAGCATCTGCTATACTGGTGAACTTAGGCTGCAATGTACAGAAGCCAAAACAAGGGTTAAAGGCAGAGAGAAAGAGAGAGAGAGAGAACAAGGGAGGTTTCCTGATACACACCCTCTGAAAGGCCAATGAAGATAAATGATACCTGTTTAAACATATTTTTCCAGTAACCAACAGGTTCACTTTGAGATAACACAGAAAATTGATTCTTGGGAGCAACTCATGTGAAAGCTCTCTGGTGTAGGGTAAGCAGGGTTAGGGGTGTCCATCTTCTTCAGCCTGATCCCCAGATCTTGGAATGTTATTAAATACCAGAATCATCTAGGACACAAGGACACCTACAATGCTGGTGGGGGATTTTTTTTTCCTAAAGCTGTAGTGCAAAATCCAACTTTTCCAAGTTCAAGCGAGAGTGAGGGATCAAAGATACCGCAGCAACTGGGGTCCTTGACATTTTGACAGTGTTGCATCCATAGACAATTGGTTCCCTAAACTCAGAGGAACAGAGCTATCTAGCCTGAAAGTAGGATGCAACATGTCCCCTTTCCTTCTAAATGGCAAGGGACCCTCCTCCTCGAGAACACCCCATAAAGGTTGTGAGGCCAGCCTACAGTCTTCTGCTTTTGGGCAACCAAATGAGGTTTGTTTCTACTCTTTTTGACTTAGTGCCACTGCTCACCAAGTGGAACTGGTCAGGGAAAGGCAGTGGTTAGGAAGTCACTCTTAATTCCATTCACAATGCAAAGGCAGGTGAGAAAGGGGTAGGCAGACACTGCAAGGGCAGTGTCTGCCTATGTCAGCATTCAATAAAGCACTTGCAATCCCATGCACTATTTCAATGGAAGCAAGCCATAGCCACAGACCAGTAACATTTCTCTCTTTGCACTGTTATCAGCATCGCAATGCTTGTGGCTTAAGACAATGGACTGCTACTCCTTTCAGCCTCCTCACTAACCCCTGATACCACTAAACAGCAATTCCTTTTATCCCAAACCAACCAATGGCTACCAATGGTTGGGAGATGCAGTCCACCATCTCTATGAGGAGCATGCAGGTTCCCATTCCTACTCTATTGCTTAACCACAGCCTTACCTCCATAGTGATGTTGCGCACAGCTGTGGGTACACACTCCAGTGCCTCATCATTACAGCACCCTGCACATCTCTTCAAGGGTACACAGGAGGGCTTGAAGATATATTCCACCTCATCTGGGTACTCCTGGAAAATATCCACCATGGTCTCAAGAGGTCTGCATGCACTGCGATCAAAGACGTCCAAAAACGAGATCACTACAAAATAAGGGGAGAAGAAAGATTAATTAATTAATTAATTAATTAATTAATTGAATGCCTTTTCTTCTGACAACTTTGCCCTTAAGATGTTTAAGGCAATGTATTACAAGCACATGGACAAATGACTCTGCACATGTTGCCGCTTCCACTTGAACGCCTTCCCATGACCTTATGGGCTCACTTAAACATGCCGTCAATAAATACATTAGCTCAGTTAAAATGCACTTAAAGCCCAAGATGATAAAGTACAGGGAAGATGTTTCTGGAAAAGCAAGATAGGGTGAAATTACTGACAGGTTTATCATTTGCCTTCTCTGAATTTTAACTACCTCAACTCCAGAAATGTTTGTGAGTCAGGGATAAAAGCGAATTTCCTGGCCCCTGTCCAGAGAACCCAGTCCAGTATTTTTCCCCACACCGCCACTATTCCTACTCATCATTTACTTCCGGACATCCCTCAAATACACAGCTGTGAGGGAAAATCACCAAGCCACCACCCTCTTTCCTAGGGACTGTATTTCTGCACTGGGAAGGTCACATTTTCCCAGACCTGGCCACATGCAGCTTCCTCACTGAAAAATACAGTTCCTTCCTCCACCAGTGAACTGACTGCCACTGCCAGATTCTGCATGCCTGCTGGACATGCACACACCAGTCACAAAGCCGTTCCTACAAGGTAAAGGCAGTAAGATAGCATGAAGGTCCCTTTCCCATACTAATCCTTTCCCTGTACTGAACCAATTCTCCCCTCCTGTACCTTTCAACAGTGTATTTTGGCTACAGGGGTTTTTATTTGTTTCTACAAAGCCAGACACTCTCTTCTCCCCAAATCCAGCACTGAAGTATATTTTCCATGATGCCCTGATGCCAACCGCACTCCCCACCCAAGCTTGAGAGTAACCATTCCATGCCTTCCAATGAAGCAACTTCCATTGTATGCCAGTGAACTCAAGAGACAAGTAATGATTTTTTCCTCTTTGCTTCTCTTCTTTCCTGTTACTTGTGTCTCGCATTTTGCATGCTAGCAGGAAAGGCCCTCCATTTTGCTTTTACCATGGTATAGGACCATTCTACCTAGTATTTCTGGATTAGGTTCAGATCAAGATCTAGTTTTTATTAAAGCAAACAAGTTTGCCACTCGCATGCTACTTAAATAGAGGCTTCAATGCCTCTACTAACTTGGTCTAGATCCAATCCGTCATCAGCACTTTCACTGATGACTTTCAGCATCAAGGAAGGCTACCATGCATGTACCATCAGATTTCTGTGAGGGCCCACATTACCAGAGCCTTGACAGAAATAGATGGGGTCTAACCATGAAATGAGGCTCTATATTCCAACAATGTCTGAAGGCATGAACAAAACAGCAAGCATCTCTCCTGTAAACCAGAAGGAAGGTGCGATGAATTCACATGCATCTGTTTTCCCTCCAGATTTTTCATTCTATGCATGTCAAGTCTCAGACATCAACACTCAAGATCCATTGCAATGCCTGGACCCAGCTGTAGGAAGATCTAAATTTAAGCCCTTTTGGGAGCACACATGTAGGCACAGCATGCCTATATATACACTCCTCACGATATGGGATAGCACCCAATTCTCCAGCCTACATTATACCAAAAACAAACAAAACAAACACAACAAAAAACCCTCTGCTGCTGGGGACCAGCTCACAGCCATTTAAGATAGCATCTGTCCTGAACTTGGCTGGTTTTGGATCATATGTCTTTCGAATCCTACAGCAAGCGGGTTGATAACCCAGGGCGATAACAAGCACAAACTGCTTGCATCATGGAAAAAACAGAAGCCAGTAAGCGTTTCTGAGGAGTCCTGAACCTGTGACAAACCAGCATAAAGGTTGTTTCGCTGAAGGGGGAGGGAAAGGGAAATACATGGAGGCTCCAGGGCTCAGAGCACAAGATTCTTGATTAATTGCTGAAAGTTAATTCTTGGTCACGCGGAGCATGGACAGTGTCAGAGTGCTGCTGGCAGCAGGTACAGCTGAGGAGGAGTTTCTGTCCAGGATATCTACGAGCTGCACAGCATATGTGCCTATTTAAAGAGACAGTGACTCAGGAAAGGAAAATGTGTAGTGAATGACTGGCAGTCCTCAGCTAGGAAAGCAGAGCTCCTTCCTCAACCCTCCCGCGCACACACACACAAATACAACCTTCTGATCTAACCCAAAGTCTGCTACTAGCCTCTCCTATCCTTTTGCACTTGGTCTGTGCCACCTCCTTCACGCTCCCCTTCAACATGACCTTAACCTTAAAATACAGCTATCTATAAACTGAAGAATTAAACAATTTAGTGCCTGAGAAACTTGCAGGCATACAGCCAGACACGTAACCACATTACTGATTATTCACACCTTTGCTAGGATTACGGGGCAAGAAACTGGTCATATTAAAAAAAAAACTTTTTGAAATCACAACATTATTATCCTGTTCAGTCTGTCTGGCTTGGTGTCTGTGTGTTTTTTTTAAAGGGGGGCAGGGCCCTACAAAAACAGGCACCAGGGCTAGAGCCCTGCCAGACTTCCCTTTCCTGCTGCAAAACAGCTGAATGCAAGAAAGTAAACAAACAACATAAAGTGACAACAAATGGGAGAATGATGGGGTATTCATTATCTCCTCCAGAACTTGGGGAAACTGGATAACATTTGTTAGAAGTTGTCATTTTAGACCACACCTGCCAGGTTTCAGGAGCTGGAGATTAAAAAGAACAACACTTCCCAGTTTTGGTATCAATAAGGCAAACCTGTTAATCTTTGATAAAAAATTAATGTTAAAGGCAATCTGAAAGGCTTAATGAAACATGGTTCAATGTGAAACTGCAGAGAAGGGTACCCAGGATGGCAAGGCAGTTGGCAACAAAATCCTATGTAGAATGGTAGAAAATGATTGTATATACTCAAGCTGGACCAACAAAAAAAAGTGAAAAAATGACAGGGAGGCAGGTAAATAGCTCTTAAATACCTGGCAAACTGTTCTGCAGAAGCCAGAATGGACCGGTTCCCAACGGTTCCAAAAAGCAGAGCTAGAACCAATGGGCCGAAGTGGCAGGGAAGCAGATTTCACCTAAACGTCAGTAGAAATATCTGAACAGTGAGAACTATTAGGCAGCGGAACAAACACCTGAAGAGACAACAGTTTCTCCTTCACTAGAGCTATTTACACCAAAGGTCTGATAACAGTCTCCTGTCAGGGATGATATCACTGCCTTCTGCAGTGTGAAGCCTATGGTAGGCCATATGACTCTCCCCTGCCCCAACTCTATACCTTTCCAATTCTGTGATGCTACAATCTACTGTACATTATTACTCAAATCTATAAGATACCCCAATTTATCCCTAAGCCATCTTGCACTTCTTACACAGGGTTTTTATACTGATAATGTTACCTTCAGAGGTAAGTGGGGAAGTAGAAGGGGAGTGATCAATCTTTAAAAAAAAAAAAACCTCATGATTTTGGAGCTTTCCAAGAAGAAAAGTGAAGCCAACTTGCTCCCAATGCTTTGATGCTTCAGAATTCTCTCAAGAACGTGTGAACCAAAAGAAGGTGCCTTAAAAGTAAAGCATGCCACATGAAGTATATTTTCCCCATTCCCTGACTCACTATCACATATTTAATGTATATATTTTAAAACAGTAAAATTCATTCTAAATTTTCAGAGATCATTCCGTGCACATTCTGACCAAGATAACCTCTATGTCCACAGTAAAAGTCATTACTGTATTCTTTTATCTCATTTTAAACCTAAATTCTTAGATAACCCCATTAAGAGATAAACATAAAGCTGGTGATGCTATCTAACATCTGCAGCACAAGAAAAGGTAAACCAAGTAGTAACTTCCAAAGAAATTGGTTTAAATATCTCCCTTTACTCAAAATTAGCAGTACTATATAGGAAGGCAGCCATTCTCAACTACTGAACCTGAAGGTGGCTCAGGTTTAAATTTCCAGGTGAATCCCTGACTATGGACCATGCAAGCTGACTGAAGCTACTATTAGCTAGACTCAAAGGTTGAAATCACTGGTGAGAAACACAGCATAGTTGTTGTTTTTTTTCCTTTAAAAAAAGGAAAAGCAATTTTAAAAACAGTTCTAAAGAACTGCACTTTTACATTCTAAGATAACTGTTAAAAAGCTGGAGGTAAGGATCAGAGACTCTGCAAAGATACTGATGTAAGTAGAAAGGATTACACAGCTGGTTATACAGTGAAAGCATTGTGATGTTTTTGGGCTCCCATCCCACATTAGCCAAAAGCAGCATAAGACTAGAGGAGAATGCAAGGTGCTGTAGTCCAACAACATCTGGAATGTCCCATTCTTCCTGAGGTGCTTCTCATTTTCAGCTTCAGTTCCAACAACAATCCCTTGCATATACTGCACATAATTGATGCAAGTATGCATAAATAGCCTGCTATTTTTGGCATAGCAGGCTACCTCTATGGTCCCTTGCAGATGGGCAAGGCTTTAAACAGAGATGCCCAACACTAGTTTGTAAGTATTCCACATTCACTTGCCAATCAGTCCTCCAGTATTTTATCTCTGCCTATCATTGCCATGCTTAGCAATAGAAAAGGTTGTCACAAGAAACTTCCAAGGCTAGCTGTGGTGTTAAGTGGCTGTGACTTGGGCATATACATAAAAGAAATACCATTCTAACACCATCTCTCAACAGAATTAAAAACAAAATATAAAATAAGCAGTGAATCCAACAGAATGTTTGTGCTTTGCTGGTAAATTCCAGGGCCCACCACTCTGATAAATTGATGCTGAGCAGTGGTATAAAGGAAGCTGAGCAGTGGTATAAAGGATGAGAAAAACCAAACAACTGTTTGGGATGGGACTCCACACACAGGAACCAGCACTTGAGCCTTCTGATCCATAGAACATAAAGACCTCATCAATTTAAAGAATAGTCCCACCAATCAGTGTTGTTCATTAAATATATCGTAGAGGGGAAGAGAACACATTAGAACCCTATGGAGTCTCTGCTGGCAATTTCAGAGGTCTAAATAGCACACAGACGCACACAGTTGATGTACAGGTTCCATCTCTGCCACTCATGTGAGGTTGGCCCAGAAAAAACTGAGCCTACACATGCACAATCTTACGCATTGATAGAGGCACAGTGGACAATGATGCTGTTGTTAAGCACTTTAGATTTCTGGCAACCATGTGGATTAGCAGCCTCCAAAAGGTTCTATGGTTAACCATCCTGCTCAACTCTCGCAAACTCAAGACGGTAGCATCCTTTACAGAGTCAATGCACCTCATATTTGGTCTGGCTCTTTTCCTGTTGTTTTCAACTTTTCCTTGCACTACTTTCTTTACAATGAATGACCCCCCCCAATAAAATCTAGAACTAACCACTTGATTTTTATTTTATTAGTTTTATTTATATGCCCCGCTTCTTCCAACAAGGGACCCAAAGCGGCCATTAAGACAGGCAATTCCTTATGTAGACAGCAGAAGCACCACACCAGTTCCAATAATAGAATTGTAGATATCATCTAAAATGTACTCCACCTTGCTATACTTCACAATTGTCTGTAATATAAGCCAAGTGTTTGACAGTCTGCAGCTATAAAATACAGGTGGGTAAACGCAATACAGGTTCATTTAACCAGAGCATAAAGGGGACAAAGCATGTCTAGCAGCACAATATGACTTCATCTCTAAAACAGTGCATGGGGTCACAAACACTAAACAGCATTCCTCAAACTAATCTCTTCCAGTCATGAAGAATTACAATTCCCATCATTTCCTATTGTAGTTTAACATATCTAGAGGGTGCCAGTTTGGGGCAGGCAAATGTTAGATAATCGGTTACGTTTAAGCATCTAATAATGGCCCAGAACTAGGATGAGCATCTTCAACCTTATTCCTACTTGGGGCTTCTGATCAAAACTATCTCCCATTCAATGTGAAAAAAAAACCTCCTTTAATTTTATTTTTAATCAACAGAACAACTATTCAGCAATCCTTTCAGGAACAGGAGACAATATAAAATGGGTTCATTGTTACAAAGTTGCTCTCCTGTAAGCCTCTGGCAAAGTACTGTAGTTTGCCAAGCCAAAAAAACTCTGTTGCAAGTTGAAAGAGTATGGCAAGATGAGACGCTGCCCCCTGCTGCCCTGAGCTAAGAACAGCAGCATGTGCCACTCCCTGTGTGTCCCAAACAGAGTCTGGGTCACTGAGACTGTAAAAGCAGGCTCTCAGGTCCCGAAGCCGGAAAACAATGTAGTAGCACGGAGGTGTCTAACCTGGGAAGCGTATGCACCATTTGAAGGTCCAAAGTTTGTCAGGGCTAAATCCCAAGCTTGAATAAATTTACCAGGCACTGTGAAACAGATATCCTCTCAAAAAGGAGGAATGCAAGACTCTTCAGTGATCTGTCTAGTCACCTGTCAAAAGAAACTGCTTCCTTTACTCTCCAAAACTTGCTTTTCCTTCCCTATGCCGTTCCTGCTCTCTCCGGCCACCCTTTATTTTGTATCACTTTGCAGAACACACACCTGTCTAGATGCATGGCAGTTTTTACAAGGAATGAGGAGATGCATCCATCTTGCAGTGTCAACAGCTCATTTACCAGAACAGGCCCAAGTGTCCACTGCAGGCCCCAGATGCTCCAAAGTTCAATGCCAAAACCTCTCAATTGAGCACTTAGGAGATTCACAGGAAATGCCTCCAAAAGGACCACTGCTTTGATCTGCTTTGATCTAAAGTAGGATGCTCAAAACATTTTGGCCTCAGATATGGTAGAATTAATCCTCAAGTACTGTAATGTCAAAAGCAAAGCTTGGAGAAACTACTTCTTGGAGCACAGTAATAGAATCCCCCAGCTAAGCTGACTGAGGAATTCTGGGCATTATGGACCAAAAAGTAACACTTCTATAGTCAGAAGGAACAAAGGAAATTCTCTCCCCCCCACCCTACCTCAATATTACCATCTATCTTAGGCTACAGTCTCAAGGAATCTGATGTATAATATCAGTCCTCATATCCTGGCTGCTCCCTTTAAAAGATACCAAGTAATCTTCTGATAACCCTACTACTGTCAGATAGAAAAGTAGTTTCCTAGAAAAGTATCCCTTTTATTTCCTTATTCAGACCCACAAGTACCACTGATCTTTAAAAGATCCAAACACTGGCTGATAGTTTGACACCTTGCTTCTCTATGTGAGCTGAACACGCCAGGTCAAAGGTCTGCCAACAGGAAAGAGCTGTCATATCTTCCTCTGAACATCATAACAAACTCATACATCTGTTTTCTGGACTGTCACAGACATTTTAATTAACCCAAGATGCAAATGTCTGGATCTAGAAACAACAGCATTCCTGTAACGTGTTCTGTGGGCTTTGGTGGAACACAGGGTCAGCCTCTTCCTCCTCCACAGTGAAATAATGTTCTTTTAATCAAGCTGGGATATCATGAATCCAAGATGGCATTAAATCTGACAGTGAATAATGTCAATCTTATATTCCATCAGCTACAATCCTATTGAGGCCTTTATGCCACAACTGGCATAAACCATACTGGCTAACTGCCATGACTTCTAAGAAATTAGAAGAGTAGGCATTTGTTATGTGCACCAAGCTGTGTAATTCAGTGCAAACCAGCAAATGTCTAGGCTAACACCTTGACTCAGCCAGTTGCTAACAAGATTTACTCTAACAGCGTTACACTGGTGGGTTTAACTAATAGGATTTAGGCCACTACTTTCATTTAACAGATGCATGCACATATGTCAAAGGTGAGGATAATGCACTCTGCTAGATGCTATTACTGTACCTTCTAAGTCCCATTATCACCAACCATACTATCTGGTGCTGGCAGATGATGACATCCAACAACATACAAGAGGAGCACATGCTTCTGAAATAGTATGATTCTATACAGCTGACACCTAGTTTCCAGAAGGTGGCAGCATTAAGGAGGGTCTTCTCCAGCAGCTGAGCTGTTGGAAGCCCACCCCAATTTTTCTCTGCAACTTATACCCACTTTTCCATTTCCCACAAGAGTAAAGAAGGAAGGCAAGCCACTTACCTTCAATGTGTTGCTTATCTCCATCCCCCTGGGCAGGAGCAGCCCATGATAACTGGAAAGGAAACAAAAAAATCAGTCAAAATACAGTATTTGTGACTAATCCTCAGAGAAAAGCACCGAACTTTCCTGCAGAAATCAGAGTAGCCCTCCAGGAACCATCTGCAAGGCAAAAGGTAGGCATTGCCATAATTTGTATCCACAACTTGTTCCTCTTCATTGTAAATGAAAGATCAGGAAAAGAAAATACCTAGATTCAAAAATAAAACACTGATGACTACTGTTGGCACCTGTATGTGCGTGTGTGTGCGTGTGTGTGTGTGTGTGCGTGCGTGTGCTTTTGTGATGCATTATTTCCACTGTTTTCAAAATAAAACAGGAAAAAGAAACACTCCTCCCTGCATAAGAGAAGACATTATAACACAGCCTGGGCTATATATGTGCATGGGTAAAAATGAGAACGTTCAGGGTCTCACAGGCTCAGCAGGAAGGCAAAGAGAATTTACAAGCCTGCTGTGCCCACAAGTGTGAGAAAAAAACTTGGGGAAAATTATTCTCAACCATAACCCCAGAAAAGCACAGCCCCTGTCCATGCTAGCTGGGAGATTCTGGAATTCATATTCCAAAAAACTCCACTTCCTTGTTCTCTGGTAAAGTCAGAATTTAGGCAGAAGGTCCTACGAAAGCTCTCAGCAGTCAGCAACACTCTTCACTGAACAGGCAACAGGAGTGAAACTTGCTGCTCAAAGACATTTTAGATTATTAAGGTCAAAACACAGAGAGCAAATCTGAACTGGCGAGGGGGGTGGCAGAGGAGAAAACAATATTGGTGACCTTCTAGCGCTGACATGACAAATATGCCATAAGATTTGTGCACGCCATTGCTGTTACAAGGAAAGTTTGTCAAAGGTATTTGGGAAAAAAGGAGGCTGCATGTTACAAAGCACTCCAGCAGAGTGAAAAGGGAGCCAGCAGTGCAATTAAAATGATCACAATCCAATTTCTCTCTCTTTCCCCCCCCCTTCGCGTCACAGAAGCAAATCCATTTACGCGGGCACTGCGCAATGTGGGGTAACTGAGGAGCAGAGATCTCTTCAGACTTCGAGGATGTAAAAATCCTGCTGAATTAGGCCAAAGGCTTATCTAGCTTGGCATTCTGTTCCCACAGAGGCCAAACGCTTGCTTCTTCGGAAGCCCATAAGCCAGACATGAGGCAAACAGCGCACTCCCAGTCAACTGTTTCCCACCAACTGTATTTCACAAGCATATTTGCTGTTCTGTTTATTTGTTTATTGTTTGAGTAGTTGTATTTTTATCCTGCCTGTCCTGGAATGAGTTTAAAGAAGGGTACTCAGCTGCCCTCACCTTTCCATTTAACCTGTCACAACCACTCGGTGAGGTTGGCCAGGTCAAGGGCATGTGATCGGTCCAAGGTCACCCTAGTGGACCTCTTGGCAGGAGGAGGACTAGAATCTGGATTTTACGGGTACCAGCAACACTCTCTCCACAACACTCCACTGGCTCTCCAGCTGTGCTACATAGATTCCGCTCCTGTCAATCAAAGCTGAGCAGCTTATCTGCATAGGATGGAAACCCTCATCTCTTTTCCTGCTGGAGTCTCCAAAGTCCAGAAAGATGCCATCTTGAATGTTAATTCTTAGGCTCTTTCAACCAGTGTGAAGGACATATGAAAAAGCACAGAAGTGGCAAGCCATTCTTAATTGTGCCTGGCTTCTTTGCTGCTCTAACCAAACTCCCACTTACGCAGTTACAGAAATGAATTTGACCATTAAAATGGCTATAGACAAATCATGCTGATTCCACATACTTAATGCAGTGCACAAATACCTACAGGGAGAATGCCTGGCTGGCAAACCAGAACTAATTAAGGTGGCATCCTAGGAATTTTCACATCCAAGCAATTCAGAAAGGAACTGGCTCTGAAGAGTGTCATCTAAACACAAGTGACAGGCAAGACAGAAAGAAGAGAGCCATTAGGATATCGGTGGAGCTGATCTGTGAAGGAGTGACTCAAGCCAGTATTGGGAAGTACCAGCTTTCATGTTGAGGTATAATGAACGCTGCCATTCACTGGCATGTCTAATATCAAAAAGACATATGGAAGAGGCAAGCAATGTTTTCTGGAAGTGCCAAAAAAGAGAAGCTGTGCTATAATTAAAGACCAGTAACCACCACAGGAAAACAATACAAAGAATTTCTCAACATTCATAGATTTTACCACCACCAGCAGCTTTCTGACAATGACGGCCACCATGGTACTATAGCTAAGGCTGCCTGTCCAGCATTGGGGGCCAGGGGGGGGGGAAGAAACCTCATTATTGTTCCACCTAGCCTTGAAACTCACTGAGCAATCTTGGACCTAGCTAACCCACGTTACAGGGTTTTCAGGATGGAATAAAGTAGAAAGGAGGAGAATCATGTGCACAACCTTGACCAAACTAGAGGGAAATGGAATACAAATATAACTAATAATATATAGTAATAACTATGGGCAGAAATGGTGCAGCCTTTCCGGTCAAGTCAGTGGAATCACCTGAAGAGAAAACTCAAAGTGGATAGCTTCCCCTGTAAAAGGTTTTGGCAGCTAGCAGACTAGAATGTTACTTTTTACAGCCAAGAACAGGATTTTCCTTTTTCTTCTTCCTCCTTAACATGAAGGTCACTGCAACAACACAAACAAGACGGGAGAAGCAGAAGCCATACCTGACCTCAGAAACCACCAAGGCCGAGGGCTGGAAAGCAGCCACAGAAAAGCCTTCGTTGTGTCTGCAGTCTCAGAGACCTAGCTACCTGGCCAGGTGGCAAGCTGTCCCTGTCAAGCAAGTGCCCGCCCACCTCCCAGCATCGCGTAATGCACGTAGCCTTTATGAGCAAGTGAGAGGCAAGGTGTCCCTGGGACTTTTCCAATTTATGACACCTACCACACCTGCAGAAAACGTGATCACAAGCAGCTGCCCTACACAAGTAACAAGCAATACCACACTGCCACAATATATCCAGAATCCTAGTCAAAGAATAAAGATGCTGCAATTTTGGCATCCCTTTATGTCTGTAGAAAGAAAAGAAAGAAAAACCGTCCAGTCTGGGGTGTTCTGAAATAGCAACAAGCTGCTGGTCACTTTGTATGTGACATGCCCCTAAGGTACTTTTGCAGATGTTTAGCCTCCAATAAATAGCTTCCTTGTCTCTCCCATAACTCTAAAATTGTAGCACGGAGAGAGAGAGAGAGAGAGAGACTGAGAAATGTTTAGGGAAGAGAATTTCAGATAAACTCCAGCTGTATGGTGCTCTGCTGTGTTAAAAGAACTTATCTTAAGAGATTATCTCTGAAAAGCCCTCAGAAATTATTTTAGATAGTAAACTGCAGATTTGATATGGTATTTTAAATTTATTTATTTAAAATCTGTCTAGAATAAAGACTGCTGATGAAGCAGCTTTCAGAGGTATGACACCCAGGTATTTTCCTAAAAAGGACTGCTGTATCTGTTGCCCACACAATGACACATTACCCATTAAACCTCATGCACAATATTTTCATGGTATTGCTCACACCATTTGCTTTTGGATCCAGGAGCTATTTATACAGCAGTGTCACCTTGAGTCCATACCAGAAACATGAAGGTACTTCTCTTTTGCCTCCTACACTGTTAAACTATTGCCCCTGTTACTGGGACTGACAACTCTTAGTTCAGAAAATCAAGGGCGGTTCTCCGGCGGAGGGAAATTTGCTTCTATTTACATGTGGGCTTTCATTAGAGAAAAAGCAAAGCAAAACAAAGTGTTCCCAAGGGACAAAAAAGGCCCAGTGCCCTTCTGAAGGTTATTATGCTTCTCCTCGTGTCATTTGCTGACTTGGGGATTTACTCACTGTTCCTATATTATAATCTCTTTCCACCTCATTTTGGATTTTCCTATGACACAGTTTCTCCTTACAGAAAAAGACAGAGTAAAGAGGAATGTTTCCTTTAGGTCCTAAGATAGCCACAGGTTGCACAAGACATACTGTGTTCTTAAGCACTAGCCCCTAGTTTACTACAAGGTGCCCAATTTCAACTGGAACCAAGGCAGAGAAAAGGTTAATCCAATAAATTAACCACACACACACACACACACACATACACACTCCCTATTCCACCTTAACCCCCACCCCCACTCTGTCTCTCCTCCCCCTAATCTCTGCAGCCTCATTAAAAGAGCTTTGTAACTGTTTAGGTCTGGAACAAACAATCCAGCTACTTTGGGAGGGCCCCTGGGACAAGAGTTAAACCCCTTTCCATCTCAGGCACTAAGAAAGTCTTCTCAGAGGTTTCTACTTAAGAACTGAGCTGTGCTGCAATCTTTCCCTATTGTGCATTCAGGAGAAAGATCAGTAATCCAGCAAAGTAACCAGAAGAATCTCCAACATGGCACTGAGAAAGAGAAAGAGATCTCCAGAATTTTTGTTTTACCTTTTGCAAGCAATAGTGTTGCTGCTATAGCAAGGCCAGGAATTCTCAGAGCAAGAAAGCTCTGGCAGGGACCTCTCCCCCCCCCCCAAGCGATTTAGCATAAGGAGCTGGGAGGTAACCACCATTCCCAGTGTGGCCTGACAGAGAGCAAGAGGCTAGTGGCTGTAAGATCATTAGCAGTCTAGTCACACACTCCTTCCCTCCCTCCCCTTCCTCAGTGTTTGATCTTTGCTTGATCCCACTGGAAATGCATCTTGGGAGGGAGCCCCATGACTCTATACCTAACTCACATCCAGCCTAGAAAGAAAGATAACAGCACAGGCTTTAGTAAAACCAAGGCCACCAGCAGAGCTGTCCAAGATCTTGCACCCTAGATTCAAAGCCTGCTTCTTGGGCCGCAGCAGGGGGGAGAAAAGAACAGAGAGCTCGGAACTGCCCAAGCTTGTAACCTGACAAGTTTGGATCGTATCATCTATCCCTCTTCCAACCATGATCAGGCTTGCATGTCTGAAAGGAAAGAACTTTCGGAAGTGGCAAATCACTGCGGGAAGATGGCTACTGATTGCACCATTGTTACAGCCTGCTATTTGGTCTGCGGGAGGAAACCAACACCTGTGCTTCCTAAGGCAGGTCACGGTGATTCCCCACTGCCTCAGCCTCATTTTGGAACCCTAACAGCCTAACAGGTTAGTATCTGTATGGTTCCCACTGCTAGAACAGCCTTATCTCAGGACCACACCTCCCCAGTATGTGTTATTAAAGCACCACAACACTTTACCTGCATGTAACTCTTCAGTCTGCCTCTCAGCTACAGCTTTGCCCCCTAATGCACAAAGAGGCACGTTTATTGGAAACGATGACACAGAAATATACAAATTTGTCCCACTCCCTTCACCAGTGGAAAAATCACTTGATGCTCTGATTACATCATTTGGGCTAGCCTTTCAAACACTACCATTATGACAAAACCACAGAATAGTACTACAGTACAGTGCAAGTTATGATACTACAGGTATCATAGTACAGTTCCCAAAGGAGTTATAATTGTTCTCCCTCCATTATCTTTATTCTCTTCACCAGAGGAGCAGCTTCTTCACCCTTCTTCAACCTGACCCACAGAGCCTAACACTTCAATTGTGCTGTTTTCAAGAGACTTTCAAGAGTCAGTGCAAACCATGATATTGCACTTACCAAGCTACAAGCCTCCCTGAAGGAGCCAAGCACATCACATCAAAGGCCATTTCTGAAATGGCTCCTAACTACAGTCTCACCTTCAGTAGCAAAGGAAACAATGCAAATAATAGTTTGTGCTGGGCAGCCCTCCAGATGCGGCTACCTTGTCTGCTGAGGCTTATAGAACTTGTAGTCCAACTGGAGAAGGTTGGACTTAAAGCACTAATTCTCACACTTGTAGAGACAGTTCTCAGCCTGCATTGATCACAAACAGCAAAAGGAAGCTAATCTGTTCTGGTCTCTTCCAGCATGTACCTAGAAGCAAACAGGGGATACTTCAACTCCCTGCCCAGTCCAAACTCTTAGACCCAACTCTAAACTCCTTGTATGTCTGAACTATTCTGAAAAGTATACTAACAATGGCAATCAACTGGTCAGCACTGCCCCCCCCCACACACCCCAAGGGAAATGGACTGAGCATTTAGGCTGCCTGTAAAGAATACCCATAAAGTGGCAAAGATAAAGCGCTCAGGAGCTAGGGGAGTTGAATAGAAGGAACTCCTATTTATGGGAACTCAGCAGGGTCATTTCTCTTGGAAATCGACCTGGAAGCAAGGCAGAATCCATTTTGTGGTCTTTGATCTCTGTTTGCTTTTTGCAAGCCAGGAATTTTGAACTCCGGTCAGTAAACCTGCCACTAACTAAAGCAAACAGGCCAAAACACCCCTTTTGCAATGTCAAGGGGGGGGGAGAGAGAAAGAGAAAGAGGAGCGTGTGCGCTGCTGATGCAAGAACTGAGCCTGCTAGCTAGGTGGCTGCCTACATGCTCAGGGACCGATGACGAGCCGACGAGAAGGCAGAGGCGCTGTGCCCCCCCCTCTCCTCGCCTCGCCTCTCCTCTCCCCCCTCGCTCTTTCTGCGGGCTTCGTCCAGCCAGGTTCTCCACAACTCCCGCTCGCCCACCGCAGAGGCAGCGAAGGGGGAGTGGACGGCTGGCAGGAACGGCGTGCCAGGAAGAAGCCAGACCTGTTCTCGCCTGAGAGAGTTTCGGGGAGGGGGGGAGCGAGAGAGAGAGAGCGAGAGACGACCTTTCCTGCCTCGCCTTCGCCTCCCTCTTGTCACACGCGCAGGCCCCATGCGGACCGCGGCGTGCGAACGGGAAGCCCACCGCCCTCCCGGGCGTGAGGCGTCCTTCGGAGCGCCTTGGGGTCGGGAGCCGGGGACGGCGGAGCCGGTCGGTCAGCCTGCCCTCCGACCAAGGGCAACCCCATCCGGCGCGGCAGAGCACCGGCACCCCGACGCTGCTGGGCTTGCACCCTCCCCTCCTTCCCTCACGCCGGGCAGCTCCCGACGCGTGTGGGCTTCCCACCCACCTTTTTTTGCCCCCCTTTTGGCCCGGCTCTCACCTCGCCCCCGCCACGCACGTTCCGCGTAGCAGGCAGCGACCAGGCCATGCGGGGGCAGGAAGAAAGGCTTCCCCGCCGCCCCGGATCCGCCCGCCCGCCCCCTTTTTACCTTGGCGTTGTAGAAATAGAGCAGCGCCGCCAGCCCCCAACGGATCCAAGTGAGCAGAAAGTTCATGGTTCCTGGAGCGAAGCAAAAGGGGGGAACCCGAGGAGCTGGATTAGATTCGCACTGACTTACTCCTCTTCTTTCCTTTTATTTTATGTGCTCCTCCTCTGGCGGCGGCTCCGATCAAGGAAAACTCCGGGGCTGATGAAGGGGGAAGGGGGGAGAAAATGAGGCTCTGGTTTCACCCGTCCATAAGTCCGGCTCCCAAGGCGCCAAAGCCGCAAAGGAAGGGGGGGAAATCACTCCCTCCACACCTCACTCGCTTTCCGCTCCTTAACTTGTCCAACTCTCAACGTCCCCGGCTCAGCTCCTGGTTCCGATCCGACGCCCCTCCGAAACAATCCCGGCACGGAACCCAACGGCTCCGATTTGTAACAGCTTGCTTGCTTCCTCTCGTCTCTCTTTCTCTCACACGCAGACCCACTCCGAAGCTCTGTGGCGCGCACCACCAAGGCAAAAGGAAGGGGGAAATTTGTAATATTATCAGGAATCAGAATTCATTTAAATGGAGGGGGGGAAAGGAGGAAAAGTTTCCCCAAAAGTTTCAGTGCATCTTCTCTCCCCAGAGGTCTCGGATCCCGAGGCTGCCGCCAGTCGCTGCCTTCAAGCTGGAAGTTGGAATGGCTTGTTTTGTTCTGTTATTGATTTATTTCTAACACCACCTTCACGAGCTTCCCCTCTGGAGAGCGCTGAATCAGCCCACTTCGCTTTGGGGCCCTTTGCTTGGAGTTTGAAGGGGGAAAAAAAAAAGGAGCCGGAGGTGGGAAAGAGAGAGAAAAAAATGATATGGTGCTTTTTTTTAATTCCCCTTTCCAAAAGAAGAGGAAGGGAGGGGGAAAAAAAGCACACAATACCAACGGTTTATGAGCGAGGCACCTTCTCAGCAGCCGGGGAAGAATAAATTAATTAAGGGGTGAATCAAAGCACGACTATAGCCGATCCCAGGGCGCCGGGCAGTACGAGGCGAGAAGGAAGTCCGAAGCTCCTCTTCCCGAGCGCCGAGCTCCCTGCCTCAGCTGGCCTTCCTTTTTTTGCCGAGCGCGAGCGAGCGAGCCTGCACTTTTAGCGTCTGGGCGTGCGTGAGTGTGTGTGTGTGCGTGTGAGAGAGAGAGAGTGCGCGCCTGTCTGGCTGGCTGGCGTTTTCTCTCTCTCCCTCTCTCTCTCTTCCCCCTCCTCGCGCGCTCTTGCTCTCCTAGCTCGCTCGCTCGCTCGCTCGCTCGAATGTCAGGCGCGGCGGCAGCACGACCCCTTGTCCACAGCGCTCCCCGGCTTGCCCGCTCTCACTAAGCTACGCCTCGCCGAGCTCCGCTCGCAAAAAAGAGCTTTTTCTGGCCTCCTAAGTCCCTCCCCTTTCTCGGCTTCCCTTCCCTGCCTCCTTTTCGCGAGCTGTATGGTCTCGGCTTGCCAATTCAAATTAAAAGATTCCTCTTTCTTCCTCCCCCCCCCGCCACAAACACCCGTTATTGAAAAGTAATGGCTAGAGCCCGCTGGCATAGGGACGGAGGATGATCAAGAAATTGAGGAAAACAAACAGCGGCTCATTCTTGGTCTTTCCTGGAACGAAAAGGGCGGCATTTTGAAAAAGAGGTTTTTCCTCAGGGCCAGCTCTACGGTTAGGAAAGTGAGGCGGCTGCCTCAGGCAGCAGATTTGGGGGTGTCGTGCTAGACGGCTTAATTCGGTATTTTTGTGGTGTGCGCATCAAGGACAGGAAGTGCTTTATGGGATTCTGCGCCCCCGCCCCCCATCTTATGCACCCAAATATTTTCCTGGCTCTAGGGACTATACCACTTTATTTCAAGGGGCGCGGATTTAATGCTCTTGGATCTTAATCTCAAGCGGCTAGCTCTGGATCTCAGTGCTTTTTATTTTTCCCCTCCTAAAGACAGAAGGAGACATGACCCCATAGGAAGTTCAAAGCAAAGGCTCCCTCGAAATGAATGGGAGCTGCACGTGATGCCTGTCATTTCCATGAGTAGAGACAAGAGAACTTCCTGCTCAATTATGCCTGCTTTTATTGCTGCTGTTTTTTTACGGGGACATTTAAAATAAACTGAACGAATAAATGATCATTATAGCCACACCCAGTCATCTACTCATTGTGGTTGCTCCCCAAAGCCAGAAACCATAAGAGCTGGTAGAAGCAGTAGAGGGTGAGCATTTTCCCCAGGAGTGGGGTGGCCACCTCAATGGTCTGACACATACTTTGCATGCAAAATTTCTCTAGTCTTTCAAATCAGGTTAAGAAAAGTTCTAGTTCAAATATCTGCAGGCCACACACACTAAAGAATTTGAGTGTTCCTGTACCTTTCGTGGTTATATAAACTTCCAGCAGGTGCGGCTTGTAATACAAGATACACCTGAAATTTCCTCCCCTAGACAACTGTTAAAAGCACAGGAGGCCCATCTTTTTCCCTCAGTGGGCCTGTAACTGAAGACCAGGATAACCAAGGAACTGACCTCCAGGTATTGTTGGTCTTTGATTCTTATCATACCTAGTTAGCATAGCCAATGATGAAGAATGCTGGGAGTTGTGATTCAATACGATATGGAGGTCTCCACTTTGCACACCCTGTTATATAAAACGTTAAGCAAGATGAGCCAATAAGGTGGCTTCTTATGTGCTACTTTATGTTTTCCCCTCCCTTTTATAATTTGGAGTCATATCTTTTGAGTGTCCCTTGCCACATACTTCTGCCAGCATAAGTGGCACATGTTACTCTAAGTATATGTATGCAAGGATGTCTTAGCCTGGGGAGAACACAGATAAGCTGTCATCCCACTTTCTTGTAGAAGGCATACTCAAATATTAACATAGGCCTAAGATAACTCACAAACTATCATCTTTTCATCAAGTTTCTCAAGGCTCCTTTGCAAATCGGAAACAGTTTTCTACTCTTGGGAAACAAGTTTTGTTTTATTCAGCGGTTGAACGAATATTAGTATGTGTTTTGCAAAACTTTGGTCGCAGGCTTTGCAGTATCAGTCTGCATTTGCTACAAATGAAAAAAAAATGCATTTTTGGCACCAGGGTGGGCAGGAACATTGGTAGGGGACTTGGAAATACAGTACTGTATTATCATTAGAAAGCAGTTAGGCCTATTAACATTGAATGAGAGGAGCACAACTGTGCCTATGGTGCTCCCTGGTGGTAGAAATTTGAAAAGACTTAAACAAATACATCTCCCTCTTTTCCACAGCACATTAGAGAGTTGGGAGAAAAGTTACTCAGATATTGTTGGTTGGTTTAAAAACCTAATTTTCTCTGGCCGCATTAAATGCACATTTCCCGCAGGGAAAACATAAAATATAAGGGAGCATACTAAACTGACAAACTATTATTAAAGTTGATTAGGGTATGTATGTAATGTGCCCATCAAACTTAGAAATCTTACAACCACAGAGCTGGAAAGGACATTATGGATCAGTGAGTCCATCCGCTGTTACAACGACACTAATAAGATTTTCAAGATATGATATATTTAAGGAGTGTTTTTACCATTTTTACCATTTCTATATTACACTAGCTCACTTCCGTGCTGGGTTTTCATGGCTGATTGGGGATTCAAACGCAGCTTTCTTGAACACTCTTGTCCACTGCACCACACTGGATACTGATTAGGATAGCCCACCTTCAAAAGGGAAAGGAGAACTACCCATACCCTGAGTAGTTGCATGCAAGAATATAATCATTTATAGTGGACCCTCGACTTACAGATAGCTCGACTTACAGACTTTTCGAGTTACAGACTTCTCTGGCCGCAAAATCTAGGTTCAAGTTGCAGCCGGAGAATCGACCTACAGACCAGAAAAAAACCAAAATGGAACAAAAATGGCTGGTTACGGGATTAATCGGTTTTCAATGCATTGTAGGTCAATGGAGACTCGACCTACAGACCTTTCGACCTGCAGCCACCATTCCAATACGGATTAATTCCGTAAGTAGAGGGTCCACCGTAGTTTGATGTAGTATATATGTAATTTAATTATGTGTTGTCAATAATTGATTCTAGCATTCAGCAATTCTCCCAGGGTTTTTTCAAAGGTATAAAGTACTCAGAAATGGTTTACCAGTCCCTCCTTCTGATGGTACTCTGGGACCAAAGTGGCACAAGATGGCAGGTGATCTCAGCTAGCCCCTCTCACAGAAGGCACAGTCAGATTCAAACTCCTACTTGCTCAGTAGCCAGATAGTCCAACACACTGAGCTATACCAGCTCCAATGTATGTTACTGGACAGGAAACTCCAGGCAGTTTTATATATACTGGGAAGGACAGCCAGCAAATCATCGACATATATGTTATCCACCTGAAGTTCTACTACTTTTTCTCACACATTTTAAAAATACCGGAGAGCAATGAGATTTTTAAAAAACTAAATTATTTCTCTCAAATTCTGGAAGATAGTTTGGTTTATTCTCAGTTGAACCTCTAGCCAAAATGGACTTTATTATAAAGGGACCAGTCCCTTCCCCTGATGGCCTCTAAGCCACTCCTCATACATGCCCAACTGCTTGCTCTTCTGGTGTGGTCAGGCTCACACCGTATTTGGGTACAGTTGTGAAGGAGCAGTGTTAGAAAATGTAGTTTCCCTAAGACAGCTGATAAACATTTTCTCAGATGTTGGGTGTGTTGCGGAAGGTACAATTTGGCAAAGCCCATCTTCCTCCACTCCAAGTAGAAGGGCAGGAAAGGTAGCTGGGACAAGGGGAGAAAGGACTTGGTTTTCTCTCTTGGATTAAAACAGAGATGAATTTGAAAGGCTATCACACCAACCTTGTACTTGAAATAAGTACTATAGGTTGCTGTGGAGGCCAGGTGAGACATGGTGTTAAGTATAAATGCAACTAATGTGCACATTTTTGGTACATCAATTGCATGGAAGCTTGAGCAGCCTTAAGACTTTAAGTCTTGTGGGACAGAATGTGGGGAAAGTTACTTTCCTACATTTATAATTCAAGGAGGTTCCTACAGGCACCAAGGGAGGCATCCCTTGAAATGTAAATAACAGCTTTAGAGAAGAGATTATTATCAGAATCAGGGCAGGGGTTTTAAATGGATGATTGTGCTCTGTATTAAATGTGTTTGAATATTGATCTTAGTTACCACTTTAATATACGTAATACTTGTTTAATTATTTTTAAACATTTGTATACTTACTATTTATCGCTTTCAAATGCTGTTTTAGTGATGTAAGCCACCTTGGGTCCTTTTGGGGAGAAAGGCAGGATAAAAATATTTTAAATAAATAAAATAATTAATTAATTAATTAATTAATAAGGTCAGGTCAATGAGGAGTTAAATTTCCTTAGACTTTTTCTTGTCTCCTCTTGACCCATGAAAATTACTCAGTAGTACTAGCCACACGGTGCAAACCATATCATGTCTTGCTACAGTACTTCAGTATCTGAGCAAGGGAATAAGACTCAGTGACATCACCATTTTAGCCCCATTGAACTCATGTTCTTCCTCTGAATCAGAATCCCTTTGATTTGTTGCAGTGAAGCATTTGTGCACTTTGTTGTGATACACTGCTAGTGGTTGCTACAACAATATCAAGAGCAAAGGATTTCTCATCAAGCAAAAAGCTATTCAGAAGGTATGTTTCATCAAGGAAAGGATAAACGTTCTTGGAGAGTTGAAAAGAAGAGAAAGAAAAGACGTAAAATTATGACAATTCCAGAATTCCCCAAGAAAAAGCACCATGTCTGTTTTTCTGAGTCACAAGTCAGTGAAGTGGCACTCCGTCATATCATATTTGTCATTCCTTCATCTTAGACTTGTTGTCCTCTGGTTGTGCTAGGCTACCACTCCCTTTTTTTAACTTATATCTAAAAAACAAGTATGGTAAATCCATAATGTCATGAACTTTTGGAACTCTAAATTCTTCACACTATTGAGATAGTGGTGCATGCCTGAAGAAAAGCTAGCAGATTGTGTGATTTTTCTCGTAGTGGTTTAATAAAGGTGTCGTCTGCACCTGCATTATACTCTACAAAGTTGCTGGTGGTGTTGTCTTGATTTTGCTGTTGTTGTTATGTGCTGTTAAGTCACCTCCAACTCACAGTGATGCAATGAATGAGCAATCCTCAAGATGTCCTGCCTTCAACTGCCTTGAACAGCTTTGTAGACTCAAGCCTGTGGCTTCTTGTCTTCCTCTTTTCCTGCCGCCTTTCACCTTTCCCAGCATTATTGTCTTTTCCAGAGGATCCTGCCTTTTCATGATGTGCCCATCTTTACTGCTGTTCTTGTTTGATTTATGTTTTATTATTTGATTTTATATTTGGAAGCCGCCTAGAGTGGTCCGGTGGGCCAGATAGGCGGGGAATAAATAAATAAATAAATAAATAAATAAATAAATAAATAAATAAATA